AACTAAATTGTCTTTCGGTATAACCTAATTATTATATCTATTGAAACATGATATCTTCTTACATTAATCAATATTTCATTGACAGCCTGTGACCGCTGCATATAGTTGAATCAAATACTATTTTGTTACTTCAACAACTTTTTTTTCTCAGTGTATAACATTACGAATTCAACTTTTTTTTTTGTTCTACGTATAAAGATGCAAACAAAAATATACACGCATTGTCAATTGTCATCGTTCTCGCGTGGTTTTTATTATTTGAAATACGGATTTGCTTTGTTTTTTTTTTCATGTGTTTCGAATTTCAAAAACAATTTATGTCAATACAAGAATAAAATTTTGTCGACGACAATTCAATCGATGTGGGAGGTCGCGGTTGATACATCGCGAAAACTTTACACACGTCGGTTTTAGATGTATAAATAGGCGATCCGGAAATATGGGGCTTTTGAGGCCGTGTCGTCGACTTGCCTCAAGCCGTCGCGCTAAATTTCACCGGTAAAATTTAGAATAAATTCAATTCAACGTTTCTACACACATATTGACGACCGGCACTGCACTTGTGATCGAAGCAACAGGTTCTTTAGACTTCTAGGTAACAATTACTCAAATCAGCGTGGCAGCATTCATCTGAAAAACACTCGCTCCGCGCGCTTAAAATATTGCATGTTTTCGATTTTACGCTCGGAAACGTTCGCGAAATTTTCCGCGAAATGTGAAACAGACATCGCGTCAGATATCGCGCAATTCTAACGATTTTCGCTTTACTATTCGAGAACGCACCGACTTTTCCGCAAAATATGTAACGTCAAGGGAAAAACCTCGAGCAATATGTTTAATTCAAAACGAACGAAAATGACAACGCGATTCTTGCGGAAGAAAACCTGCAATATTTTGTAAAAATACGTGTAAGAATTTGTGTATTTTATCAATTTAAAAAAATGTTTGTAATAATAATAATAATAATTTTATTAACTACTTGCAATCTATTTGACTTATTACGATCGTTAAATCACGTTGAAAATGGATTTCTGTTTTCCAGAGATGAGGCACCTCGTCAGAAAGCAGAGCACAATAGACGTTCAGTCAGTTAAAGTCAGTCTCAAAGACATCGTTTGTTATCTCTCCCTCCTGGAAGCCGGCAGACCGGAGGATAAATTGGAATGTACGTAATTGCCACAAAACAACGACTTTGCTTTGGATACACCCGCGGCTTTTCATCTCGAATAATTCGTTAGCCGTGGTAAGATCGACGATTTGCTTTGCTGAAAATAATAATCCGCCGTTTGTTTTACGCCGCAAACGAGATCGAGGCTGTGTGTAAGTGATTAACACAATGCTTGTGTTTCCCGAATAATCGTCAAGAATTACATTTTGCGCGTAAATCGCAACGGGAAATCCTATACGCATTTTGCAAAAGGAAGCCGGAAACGATATTTCGCATTTAAAACTAAGTGAAAACCCGGTTTTTTTCAAGCGAAGACAATATTCGTCGCGTCCGGGATTTCCTCTCTCGCTAAATGAAAATTTTTTAACGCAAGGATGCATCCTCGAGGATATCTCGTCTCTCTTTTTTTTCCGAGACAGAAATTGAGAAAATTGCCAAAACAAAAAAAAACAAAAAAAAAATAATAAAAAGGAAGAAGATCAACAGAGAAGCGCACAGAACTTATACGCGGGGGACTCGCGTGTTCGTCGGCGGTCATCCTCGATTTTCTGTCACACACATGTAGTTGTTACAAATCCATCCCGCTCGAACTTGTTGGTAGCGCAGACTGCAACTTGTTGCACAGAACACTTTCGACTTGCGTAACTCGTGTGTGTTTTATCTTTTTTTCAGTCATGTTCCGGCTGTACGATACGGATGGGAATGGCGTCCTTGATACAAACGTGAGTAAAGATCGTTATCAGTAGTCGGGCGAGATAATCACGCGTGAAGTCGAATGAAGTGCACGCGAAACGCGATATTTCTCGCGCGACGACGCATTTGCAATTTTTATTCTCTCTTGGCGCGTACAAACGCCACACGTCGTTGTTAATTGTCGCGTTCGCGGCGATATCGATCGCGAAAAAAAAAAAAAAAAAAAAAGAACCGAACAAACGTTGGGGATCGTCGCTTTATATGATATTAAAATATGCGCGCAAACAATAGATCGGAAGCGAGAAGGAGCGCGCGACAAAAATATCAGTATCAACGTTTGCTCGGTTCTAATTCTGATTCATTCCGGCAAAACGGTGACTTTTCTCCAGCGAGAATAGCTTGACCTTTGCTGCTTAAGTAATAACGGTGTAGTTATAACTTCGGAGCTACGGTATTAATAGAAGAGATAAATACTTGTTCTCTCTCTCGCTCTCTCTCTCTCTCTCTAATGCTGCGCTCTATCGGTTGAAGACATTTAAAAACCTTTTTTCGTCTTGTGTACGGATCAGATTGGTAACTGCTTTAATATTTCCAATCTTCGATTACTGCAGTGTCTTATTGACTGATTTAACGGAAGCTGACAATCTACGACTTCAAAGAGCCTTTAATAATTGCGTTAGATTTATTTATGACATTAAATGGTTTGAGCATATTACGCCTTATTATCAAAAACTACAATGGCTCAAGTTAAAGACAAGAAGAAAATATTTTATAGG